TTTATGCATTTTTCTGTCACAAATGTCTAGATTTCTCTGTCAATATTACTCCTAAGGCGTTTGTATGGCACCCGGTGGCTGTTTGTGGTATAACGCCTAAACAAAATTGCATAGGAACCTTAATTTTTTTTATATCAACTTCAAATTTGGAACACAATGTATTTAGACATATGGCTTTAATTTTATAGCAATTTTGGATTAAAACATATTTTATAAAATATTTATTTTATATAAAATTAAATAAAAATAGTGCAGTACATTTTCTTTACAGTAAATTTTAACTTCTATAACTCTTTTATGCTTTCTTTTTTTTTCTTTTTTTTTTTACATGATTTCACTTCTGCAATAATCTGCAGATTGTCTTCTTTAAAAAGAGACCAACCTTAAGTCTGTATTTAAGTGTTTTATCCACGATCAGGTAAACCTTAAGTGTTTATGAATTATAACAATTAAAGTTTGAATAGTTTTTGCTCCTGGGCGAGTTCATTCACAGCTTTATCCTGATGTTTCATGAAGTCAAACGGGGGGGGGGGGGGGGGGGGGTTGACAGTTGACAGGTGACAGTTACTCACGTGACAAGCGCATATGCGAATGACGTCAGAACGCTATACGTCCACAGAACGTCCACGTCTGCATAGCGATGCAATGATTAATTTCGACACCCCTAATGTAGACCTCATCATACTCAATAATGTTAACCATTCTACCCTAACTTCCCCACGACTGCTGTCAGACACAGAGATCTCTCATGTTGTCAGGCACACTAATGCTCCGTCCTCTCTTAAGAGGCCTTTAAAAAAGCCAAGCGTGATGCTGACACACGGCACAGTGAAAAAAAAGCCTAAAAGGCCTGTTCCTGTCAGCTCTGTCCAAATCAGCTGTTGATTACAGAGAAAACTGGCAATTCACTGGTGGCTTCTGTCAAAACGCAGACACTTGGTGTCTGCAAGAGTCTTTTCTGTGGGAGGACACAGCACTTGGTGTCGTGATCTTTTGTTCAGTTCTCTGGCCGTGCAGTGCCTGTGACTTGAAGTTGTTTTGCATTTTAAAAATAGAAACATTTTAACGGCTTTATTTTCAGCCCAAGTGGCAGAATATCCCTTTGCATTCGCAGGTCATCCAGGCAGAATTCACCTTTCCTCACAGGATGGTCTTATCTCATCAGTAACCCTTTGTTATCTTACCTGGATCACACCTGTCCCTTTGTTCGGCAATGGAAAGCCGGGGGAGTAAATGACTTCTTACAGATTCTTCAGGTAAGCAGACCTTGCCGGAGCCAGTGTGGGCCTTCACACCCAAAATCACTCACACAAAGCCAAAATCCTCCACAGTACTGCTCTTCGGTTAGACTATCAGGGAGCACATGGTCATTGTCCCAGTAAAACGCCCCATCTCCATTTTCCATCTCAAATGCAAACTTTACCTATTGTAAAATTTCACTCATACTTAACCAGAGCTCTGTATAACACAATCTCCCTCTCTCATGAAAGGGTGTTATTAAGATAAAATAATACGTTACAAGATTATAAAGTGACACTGGCATTATTTAAATAGTGAGAGATAAGAGTACAATGGTGCCTCACACCGTGTCCTATCCAGGTGCAAAGTTTGCAGTGACACGTAATTTGTCTGTCCACACTGAAAGCAAAAATGCTACGTGGCACAATAATAGCCCATTAGAACATATTTGATATTTAGTCAACAGTTTGCATCTGGTTAAGGTCTGGTTAGGGCACAGTGTTAAACCTGATTTCTTGCGACATGTCTTTTTTCTATTCTCTCTGAAGGCAAAGTGTTTGCTCAACATGCCACAATTACTCCCAATGGTAACATGTTTAATGTGCAGCTATTTTAATTTTTGGACCAATCAAAATTTGCTGTGGGCGGGGCAAATCAGTGTTGTAGAATTGGCCCACTTTCAATTTATTACTTGAAGTTTAAAATGAATTGGTCACATGGCACAGGAAGTTAAATTTCTATCTATCTATCTATCTATCTATCTATCTATCTATCTATCTATCTATCTATCTATCTATCTATCTATCTATCTATCTATCCACCCGCCCGTCCGTCCGTCAGCAAGGCCTATAAACCTTCAAACTGCAAGACTTTCTAAACTTTTTGTTGATAAATTAGTTAAATGAATTTAATTCAGTGTTACTTAATTTTATTTATATGTCCATGCATTTTAAAACTGTTCTGCAACATGCTTGGTATTATGATTCAACACATGAATTGAAATGAAAAGTGATATCTTGGATCATTTTTAAATGAGTCATTTCCATTGACAACAGCCTGTATATGCCGCCAATATAACTTTTAGTCAAATTTTTGCCAAAATAAACAATTGCTCACAAACACCACAATTAAGAGCACTTGTGCTGCTGACTTGTATGGAAAACATACATCTCTCTTTGACCTTTACTGCTGTGCCTGAGGCCACACAGCAGCATCAGCCACCTGCAGTGTGTATGTGTGTGTGTGTGTGTGTGTGTGTGTGATACCTGTGACCCTAAACCCGACTCCCTATTTCTCAATCTCATCAGATCACATCAGCAGCTCTTTTTTTCAGCTTGATATCTATTTGCCCTTGCCCTCCACCATGCTCTCCATCATCACGTTGCCCTCACGCTCTCAGTCTCTCCTCCTCCCTCTCACTCTCTCTTTTTTCTCCCTCCCTCATTCTGTTTGTGTCCTCTGACCACCTGACACCTTTTCAGATCCTGTTGGCAGACAGCACACGTTTCACCTGGCAGCAGAATTCAGTGATCCAGCCCTATCGATGGTAGATAAATCAATGTTATCTCTTTTTGCCATGCCTGTTTGCATCGATTTCTCTCTGTTACCTTGCAGTTTGTGAAGACTCGAACCTCGCTCAATTAAACTGCCTTACTTCACCAAACGAACAAACTGAAACATAAGGCTGAGGACAAGATGAGGAGGGAAAGATCAAGGAAGAGGGTAAAAGAAGGTTGCTTCAGTTCAGATTTAATTCCTCAATGCAGCATAAACGTCAAGTGAGCAGTTTTTCCAAATCACAGATGGGACATTTTGCCATTGTGCATCTCAGAAGCTGGTGAGTCATATAAATGCCATTTACTGAGACAACCTTCCTGTATAGTAAAATCTCATCAATCAGAGAACAGAGAGTTGTAGGTTTATTTGACCCATACACATGCACTGATATTTTCCTTAACCACAAATAATAGATAATAAAAGAGACCAGGGCTAGTTGTCACACTTTTTAATCTGCACTGAATATACGTTTATTTCTGTACTCCCTAGTGAAACACTTAGCACTAACATGCTAAGTATACTACAAATGCATTTACATATTTATGTACTTAATAAAAATGCCCTGCAATTCTATTATTAGTATACTAAACTGGTATACTTAAAGTCTGCTAAAGTGGAACAACTAATGTACTTTTTGCACTTTTATTGTGTGGAAGTAGTGCTGAAGTCCAACTAAAGATATGCTGAATTATATTTGATTGTGCTAAAGTGGAACTATTGCAAGTATATGTCAGGTACACTTTAAATATCTTGCATTTAAAGATCAATATTATTCAAAGATCATACAGTCCTCATCAATAATGACGTTAAAACAAATTTTAGGCTTTAGTTTGGAAAGTAAAAAGACTGAACACGTATTGACAAGTAGTGAGGCATGTTGTCTTAGTGGAACCTGACAAAGGAAAAGTTCACCAAAAATGAAAATTTGCTAAAATGTACTCACCCTCAGGCCATCCAAGATGTAGATGAGCTTCTTTCTTCATCAGAACAGATTTGCAGAAATTCTGCATTACATCACTTGCTCACCAATATATCCTCTGCAGTGAGTGGGTGCCGTCAGAATGATAGTCCAAACAGCTGATAAAAACATCACAATAATCCACTAGTAATCCACACGACTCCCAGTCTATCGACTGACATCTTGTGAAGTGAAAAGCTGTGTTTGTAAGAAACAAATCTATTATTAAAGTGTTTTAATGTTAAAACGTTATCCATAATAATGCTTCCTCCAGTAAAAAAAAGTCTATCCCCTGTTGTCATTTCACATCAAAATCCACCTAGAACTGTTTTGGACTGTTCTCACTTGTTGATCTGTGCATATTTCTCTTCAGACCAGATGACGTTTTCACTGGAGAAATCAATATCATGGATAGAAGACTCATATTTTAAAGCAACGATTTGAAGTTAAAAACTTTTGCTTATTACAAAAACACAGCTTTGCACTTCACTAGACATCAATTGATGTATTGGAGTCATGTTGTAGATTGTTGTGATGGTTTCATCTCACTCTGACGGCACCCATTCACTGCAGGGGATCCATTGGCGAGCAAGTGATGTAATGCTACATTTCTCCAAATCTGTTCTGATGAAGAAACAAAGTCATCTACATTTTGGGTGGCCTGAAAGTATTTTTTCATTTATTGGGTGAACTATTTCTTTAAACAGGCTTTTTAAGCAAAACTGAAACAGCAAAATAATCACTAAACTTGAAACAACAAAGATGGAAAATGGTACAGTACAAAAATAGCAAAGCATTTTTGGCAAACAATAATCAGTAATCAATACATTGTGTTAAATTACTATATGAAACAACTTTCCCCATTTATGAACTTCTGACAACTAGCCCAAATATGCTCCATTACTGCAAATCATATGATTTGTCTAACAATGAACTTTGGGTGTATTCAGTGTATTCAAGCATTTTAACTGACACAACAATCCGTTTTTGTAAAGGCTAGAAAATAAACCGTTTTTAAGCATTTTGGTTGTTTTCAAGAGTGAAGTTTCACTGAAGAAAACAAACCCCTTTTCTTTTTATGTTCTCATTAAAACTCAGCCTTTTAGCAACCCCCATATCAATATTACTATTCACTGATTCAAAACTAAAAGATTTTCACACTGACCTGACACGGATGTCTGATTTGAGATGTGAAAGGCATGGAAAGGCATTAGTCAGAGCTGCAGCCTGCTGTCAGAATTCTTCCTTAGGCCGTCAGCTTCTCCCCATAAGATCACCCTATAGGATCTAGCCTTCTCTGATGTTTTCAATGTCAAACAGTCAGAATTACTGAAGCTTAAGAAGAGGTTAAATTGCTTTGAAAGAGATAGACGGCCTACTCTTTTATGGAATAGAATAGAATGGCTTCTTTGAGTTTTAGTGTGTATGATTAAAACTAAACAGTGTCTAATGTTGTCTTTCAATCCCACTCTTTCCTACCATGCAATCTCATCTCTTTGAGGACAATCCATCGGTAATCAATTGAGCTCCATCTATGACATGCTTGTGGGAGAGCATTTCATCTGTTGATTTCATAAGCAGATGACTCGACTAACATTCCGCACGTGTTTGCTCAAGTTTGACTAGAGTGGACGCAATTTGCAATAAAGATTGAACGCGAGCAGTCTGGCTGCATGAGCGCACATAGAAGCGATGAATTATGTATGCGCGAGACAAAACAAATGTGTCAAATGTCATATTACACTGGATAATTTCCCACTGGCAGAAAAGCAGCATTTTAAACTGAGAAAAGGCTGCAAGCGTGTAAGTCACAGAGTTACAGAAAACTGCATAAATCATATTCAACTCAGCTAATGACCAAACTTGCAACCAATCACCATATTATTATGTGATTTGATTACTTTTTCAGTAGCTTCACAATATTAAAAGGAGGGTCGACGACATAGCAAATAAAATAATACAACCTTAATAGGTTGAAGGTTTACGAGTTTAAGGATATTTACAAGGATGTTGATCTTCTGTATGTACAGTGTTGGCAAGTTGCTAAATTATGTAATTTAATTACAAAATAAATGTAATTGTAATCAGTTACAGTTATTGAGAAAAAATGTGTAGGCCTAGTTAAATTACAGTTACTTATGAAAATGTTAACGATTACAAAGGGGGTTACATCTGATTTTTTACACACACCCACATACAGATTTAATTGATTTCTTTCATAAATTGCAGAGACTTTCTAGAGACTCTCTATATGAGAGACCAATGTTTCAGGAGTTTGGGACACAGAATAGGACACATGCTTATAACGATAATGGCTTTATTTCCTATTTGGGTTTATGTATTATATGCTTTGTTTTTTAAGATGAACTGTTTTTTCCCATGCCATTGTTAGATGCCAGTGTTTCCTGTCACAGTTATGCGAATATTTAATTTCAAAAACAGTACACTCTTAAAAATAAAGGTGCTTCACGATGCCATAGAAGAACCTTTGTGTCTAAATGGTTCCATAAAGAACCTTTAACATCTGAAGAACCTTCCTGTTTCACAAAAGGTTCTTTGTGGTGAAAGAAGGTTCTTCAGATTACAAAAAGTTAAGAAAGCGATGGCTCTTTAAAGAACCTTTGACCGAATGGTTCTTTTTGGAACCAAAAATGGTTCTTCTATGGCATCGCTGTGAAGAACCTTTTGAAGCACCTTTATTTTTAAGAGTGTAGCTGCTAAACTATTTCATGTTATGTTTTAAACCTATATTTAACCTCAGAATGATTTCAAAGTAAGTCTAATTTTGTGATGGCTGTGCTTTAAAATTAAATTATTATGATCTTAACTCAAGGGATGAAGGATTTTGAAAGTCTGACAGTAATCAGTTTTGAGTAGGCCTACTACTGTAAGCTTAACGCTGCCTGGTTTACAGGTTTGAAAATGATTAACAGTTGAAAACAGTAGAAATTAAAAAAAGTAATCAAATGTAATCAGTTAGGCTACATTACTTTAATAAAGTAACTGAAATAGTTACACTACTTATTGCATTTTAGATTTACATTACATTTATATTTAGTCATTTAGCAGATGCTTTTATCCAAAACGACTTACAAATGAGGACAACGGAAGCAATCAAAACTAACAAAAGAGCAATGATATGCAAGTGCTATGACAAGTCTCAGTTAGCTTAACGCGGTACACGTAGCAAGTCATTTTTTTAAATTATATAATAAATAGAATAGAATAGAAAAAGAATAGAGCAGGTTAGTTAGAGGCCTTTTTTGCTTTTGTTAATTTTATAATAAATGGGGAAGTCGTGGCCTAATGGTTAGAGAGTCAGACTCGTAACCCAAAAGGTTGCGGGTTCGAGTCTCGTACCGGCAGGGATTGTAGGTGGGGGGAGTGAATGTGCAGCACTCTCTTCCATCTTCAATACCTCGACTGAGGTGCCCTTGATCAAGGCACCGAACCCCCAACTGCTCCCCGGGCGCCGCAGCATAAATGGCTGCCCACTGCTCCAGGTGTGTGTTCACGGTGTGTGTGTGTTCACTGCTGTGTGTGTGCACTTTGGATGGGATAAATGCAGAGCACTAATTCAGAGTATGGGTCACCATACTTGGCCACATGTCACGTCACTTTAAATAAAAAGAAAACAAATAGATAGAATACAAAAAGATTAGGAAAGCGAGTGTTAGTTTTTTTTATATAAAGAAAAAAAGCAGTAAATGAATAGAGTGCAAGTCTAAAAGGGACCAGTTTTTGTAAAGAATAGAATTAGAATAGAGAGTGCTAGAATTAGAATAGAATTAGAATAGAGACTGCTAGAGTTAGAATAGAGAGTGCTAGAGTTAGAATAGAGAGTGCTAGAGTTAGAATAAAATTAGAATAGAGAGTGCTAGAGTTAGATGGTCAAATAAAGATGGAAGAGATGTGTTTTTTTTAGCCGATTCTTGAAGATAGGGTAACTTGTAATCTGTAACCTATTACATTTCCAAAGTAACCTTCCCAACACTGTGTATATATATATGACAATATATTGTTCATCTTTTATTTGTTAGTTATTGGCTGCTGCAGGGGCCTGTAACCCTTGTTAACGCCATCCCCACAGTTTCACAAGATCAACGTCCAGTCCCTGAGCGTTCATAATAAACGTGCTTTCTAATATGACGTGTGGACGCTGACAGCGTCACCGTGGTAACAGCCCTCAATTACCCATGATTGGCCGACCCGAGGGAATATTTAAATGAACCCTGTGCGCTGATTGGCTGGTGGGCGGTCTTTGGAGGCGCGAGCGTCTGCACCGTTCCGGGTTTTTGTCAGTCTCAGCTGCCCGGCGCAGGGGTGAGGCGCAGTGCCTGCGAGCGTATCACAGAGACGCGGAATACAGACTATTTACTGCTTTAAGTTGATTAATTCTAGCTTGATATTACCATGAACAGGAGCTGCAACCTCTGGAGTCCTTCAGAGGAATAATTAAACGGACAGCGGGGTTGAAATCGCGGCGGAAGGTTTCCGTGCAAGGGGATGAAGAGATTTCTCTTCTCGAGGATTAAACGGCGTTTATTAGTCTTTCAGAGATTAAAAAGAATAGTTAAACTCTTAAAAATAAAAGTTCCAAAAGGGTTTTTTGTAGAGGTGCAGTAGAAGAACCATTATGGGCTCCTCATAGAACTTTTCTGTGAACGGTTCTTAAAAGAATCATTTTTGTAATATTTCCCACTATAAAGCTTCCATGGATGATAAAGGTTCTTCATGGCACTGTTGATGTTAATAAAGAACCTTTATTTTTTAGAGCGTTAACAAACTTTCCCCTCAGGGCCGGCTCCACAGGAGGCCCCTGGGTGGGTTTGACCAACTTAATCATGAGCTTGGCCCACCCGGAAGGTCCTATGGCACACCTTAAGGGTGTGTTCACACTTGTAGTTTGGTTCATTTGGTCCGAACCAAAAAGGAAAATGATACATTTGGTCCTGGTCTGCTTAGCATTCACATTGGCATTTTTGACAGCGAATCTAAAGGCATAGTGATACGTTCACAACCTGATTGGTTCGGGTTGAATGACATATATATCGTGACGGAACTCACCGAACACCCCAAACAAAAGAAGAAGAAGCTGTTTTGGATGACTTCTTTCTTCTTCTTTTTTTACGCGTGTGAAGTACGCAGATAAAAGGAAATCAACTTCTAATAAGTCAACTGAATATAACCGCTTGTTTGGTGCGCACCAGGGTTCGGAACGCACCCTAAATCTTTAGATGTTGCTGTATCGTTCTTGAACAATCAATATCTAATGCAAAACAGCCTCACCTTAGGCATATTGTTAATTCATTCTTAAAAGTAGCTCAAGTAATTTAACGTAGCTGATAACTCTTAAAAATAAAAGTTCCAAAAGGGTTTTTTGTAGAGGTGCAGTAGAAGAACCATTATGGGCTCCTCATAGAACTTTTCTGTGAACGGTTCTTAAAAGAATCATTTTTGTAATATTTCCCACTATAAAGCTTCCATGGATGATAAAGGTTCTTCATGGCACTGTTGATGTTAATAAAGAACCTTTATTTTTTAGAGGTTTAACAAACTTTCCCCTCAGGGCCGGCTCCACAGGAGGCCCCTGGGTGGGTTTGACCAACTTAATCATGAGCTTGGCCCACCCGGAAGGTCCTATGGCACACCTGAAGGGTGTGTTCACACTTGTAGTTTGGTTCATTTGGTCCGAACCAAAAAGGAAAATGATACATTTGGTCCTGGTCTGCTTAGCGTTCACATTGGCATTTTTGACAGCGAATCTAAAGGCATAGTGATACGTTCACAACCTGATTGGTCGGGTTGAATGACATATATATCGTGACGGAACTCACCGAACACCCCAAACAAAAGAAGAAGAAGCTGTTTTGGATGACTTCTTTCTTCTTCTTTTTTTACGCGTGTGAAGTACGCAGATAAAAGGAAATCAACTTCTAATAAGTCAACTGAATATAACCACTTGTTTGGTGCGCACCAGGGTTCAGAACGCACCCTAAATCTTTAGATGTTGCTGTATCGTTCTTGAACAATCAATATCTAATGCAAAACAGCCTCACCTTAGGCATATTGTTAATTCATTCTTAAAAGTAGCTCAAGTAATTTAACGTAGCTGATAAAAAAAAAACTTTATATTTAGACTAGCGCGAGCATGCATATTGATTGTCTGTCAGTCAGGAAAGAGTTTTATTCTCCCCCCATACATCACAATTTGAGTCTCGCGGGGCCCCCGTCATTTCTCCGCTGCTCTGACTAATGCCATTGGCCCCCTACTCCACGGTGGACGTTCCACTCTGCAAGTCATCACTCCAGAGGCTTAGGGCTCTGGCTCTTAGCTCGGCTCCAGCATGTGGCCTTCCTCAGGGCCTGGCAGCCTCATTACCCCAGCAGAGTCCCTCACTCTGAGGGCTGCGACTCCCTCCACCCGTGGAGACAGCACCTGTCAAGGAGCATGCTCACCACTCTATTGAATAAAACATTCAGTGATGTACGAGTGGAAAGGTTCACCTCCGGGGGCCAGAGTTGCCTCATTTCCTACTCCTGCTGCACATCCGTGACCCGCTGAGCAAATTGGCCCGGTATTAGCTCTGTGGCTCGATCTCACCTAAACAAATAGAGCTTCCAGCATAATGCTAATCTCAGCTGAGCCAAGCGTGCGTGGGGGAGAGGGGGAGATAGCTGGTGGTGATATGGTACAGTCTAATATTTAGGTCACTGAATGGCCTTAGCA